GCTCCAAACCACTGCATATAGAACCAGTGTCTTAGCTCCAAACCACTGCATATAGAACCAGTGTCGAGTTTAGCTCCAAACCACTGCAGATAGAACCAGTGTCAAGTTTAGCTCCAAACCACTGCAGATAGAACCAGTGTCGAGTTTAGCTCCAAACCACTGCAGATAGAACCATTGTCTCTGGAGTTTAGCTTTGGAACCCTACAGATAGAACCATTGTTCCCGAATTTAATTCTGGAACCCTTCAGATAGAACTAGTGTTTTAAGAAACTTTAAAATCTTACTTTCGGTTTTTATATTTATTTTTTATACCCCTGAAAAGTTAGGATCGCGATAATCCTGGTTATTGGAACTCTCTGGAAAAATCGTTAAACAGGTTTAAAATTTTGCGAGGATTCCCTTTAAATTGAAATATTTGCTTCGTATATGTATTTTTCTGATTTCATGTTACAGAAAAAAATATTTGAATCATATAGGTTGTCCCAATAAACATGGGACAAATTGAGTGAATATTTTGAGAACATCTATTTAAATGATTTTTGATTTCTGCTTCCAATACTAAGAGTTAATTTTTAAAATTTAAAACTTTTCTTCTGAAATTTTTATTAGATAAAGGGTATGTATCCCTCTTGAATGCAGGGTCACTTGAAATCCCAATGACAGACCCTTCAAGACTTTTGAACCATGTATTTTTAACAAATAAGATCAGAAAGCGTCGTCCCTCAATTTATTGGGACACCGTTTAACTAGAGCTTGACATGATTATTAGAGGGCTGTTGAAGGTGTTCAAATTTTCTTTAAAAACTTAATTATTCTGTCTTGTGAGTTGTTATTTCTCCCCACCTGGCTTCATATTATCCTTTGCCTTTTGCATTCCTTTCGTTAGAACCTTTAATCCTAAGGAAATGAGTCTTTGCCACAAACTCGGATTTTAAAATCTCAATTTCTTTTAAACCAAATGTCGTAGACCGTAGATATTTCAAACTATGAATTCTGGTGGATCAAACAATGTAAGTTTGAAATATGAAAGGTATGCATCATCTGGTTGTTGAGACTTAGGTATTATAAAATTGGGATTTAATTGGCAAAAACTCAATTTCTTTACAATTACATATTGTGAAGTATTTAACCCTGAACAGCTAGAGACGATTTCTTTAATTAGAATAATCCTTCTATTTATAAATTTTCCGCGGCATATGAAAAGGAAAGAAGTATTTAACAATCGTCTTTAATGTATTGTTATTTCCGCTTAACACTGTGAAGAAGACGACATTAGAGAAGAATTAAAGTCGTTAGTTGAAAACCTATGTATAAATTGAATTAACTAGTTCTAATCTAATATCTGAACCAATTTTATGTGTTCGAAAAATAAATCATAATAATAATATTCTGAATTTGTTCTTTTTCTTAAAATATGATCAGAACCCAAAATACACCTAGCATTTAACTACGTGAAATATCTACTGTTTGTTAATTAATTAATATACGTTAACTGTCTTTAATTAATCTTTTAAGCAAAATTTATGTTTTTTCATTTTGTGGAAACCAACTTCACCGATATTTTTTATACAGTGAAACCCTTAATAAAGAATACATCGAAAGAATTCATCAAATGTCGTATTCTTCACTTTCTGATAATGGAATGTTGCAGATATTTAGTTTTTTAATTAAATGATTATATGGAACAATTTAAAACTGTTCCAGCATATTCATAGCTATTTATTTATTTTCGCTAATACTGAAATTTACGAAATATAGTATAAAACTCATTGAAAAATTGTCAAGACGACATTTGATAAATTCTTCCGAAGTATTCGTTATACAGGGTTTCACTGTATAATCCTTAACAATATCAAGGTCTTGAAATATGACGATATCCTTTGTTGATTTATATCTTCATTTTTATCTTCTGCCTTAGATATATTCTTTTAAGGACTTATTTAATTATTGGGCAAAGAAAGAAGTTTAAAGTTTCAGGGAATCGTAAATAATATAAGGAAACAGCGAGTACGATTGCAGTACTGTCGTCTCTGAACTCTGAAGTTGCGTCCTGTCTGTTTTTGTATTTTCATTGTTAGCTTGTCTAACTTACAATCTAGGAAGCTTTCTTTTAGCTATTTTAGATTCAAAAAACAGCTGAGCAAACCTTTAAGTTGGAAAGATCCAACGAGCTTGGTAATATAAAGAGGAAGCATTGGGATTGCAAAACCAGACGCCTCAACTGGTTAAATTAAGAAGCCAGAGAATATCGTCAAAAATTATGCAGTCTCTCAACAAAACTGTAATTTGCCGTTTTAAATGCATAACTTTGATATCTTTTTTGGGCCCTGAGCTGAAACTTTAGAATGAAAACAGAAAAATTTGTGAATAATGGATATTATTTTGAAATTTAATGTTTAAACTCACTAAATATTTAGCGACCAAAAGATAAGATTATTATCTAAAAGATAGACCTGAAGTCAAAACTTTTGTATTGTGAATCTCAGGATCAAGTATTGATCTCTCTTATTCAGATCTACAGATCAATATTTAGTTCCCTTTTCCATGATGGTAATAGCCTGCATGGATAGCTTTAATTGAGGGATCACGCATTGATCCTTAAATCTAGAAGTGCCCACATTGGATATCGAGATCAAGCTTTCCAGATTAACAATTTATCCAGACATAAAGACAATCTCTGTAAAACTAGTTTGAATAAATCTATGTTCTATGTTGAACAGTGAACATGCTTTATGTATTATTCAATCAGAAATTTTAATGTAACAGAGTGGGAGTTTTTCTCATAAATGGATAAATAGATATTAAGAAATTATTAATTATTAAAAAAGGTAGGGATGTTACATTTTTTAACTTTTATAAAAAAAAATATGATCATTTTGTGGTTCGTTTTCGCATTAACTTTCTCTAAGGGTCAAAATCTGGCATTAAGGTGTAAGAAAAACGTGCAAATGTATAAAATAAGCAATTTTGAATTCATGTGGAACCTTTTCAAAGTATAAAATTCTGAAAACGGAGCAAGTTATATATTTATAAACATATAATACAGTGAGATCCTGAAAACTGTGGAATAGAAAGACGGCCTTTAATAAACAATTAAGTGCATTTGATGTTGTTACAAAGCATTTATGTACTTATTAAATCACTTAACAGTTTTCTTTTTATTCCAGAGTTTTCTGGTTTTCACTGTCCATCATATATATGATTAGACCTTGATTCCTGGCCCTATAGATGAAAATATTAAAGAGTACAATTTCCTTCATTTAGTAAAATATCATCGTTCTAATTAGCTACTGTATCTATGTAGAATTGTCTCCCCTCAGCTAACCTATGTTTTCTCCTGTATTGCTGGTTATCAGATTGTTAAAGAATCTTGGTTCTTGTAAGGATGAAAAATATCCCCCTTGGGATTTCTTGCACACTAATAAAGCAAGCAAAATATCCCCCATCCCCTAGTTTCAAAAGTCCTGGGGACTTTTCAATTCATTTCAGTCCTGACAGAGACACTTTATTTCACAGTTTAGATTATTTGTTAGGACGACGAATGAAGACGATGTAAACTGTAGAATTCTACGCGGCATGAAACATGTTGTAAGTTATTTATGTTACATGTTGTTACGTGATATATAGAATAGTGATATACATAAAATTAACTAAACCCTTCCCCTCTTACCCTGTTAGGCTGTTATATCCTGCTCTGATGGTACAGTACACAAGAACCAAATTGATTGTTTACATTTGTTTACTCAACATATTTGTTTGTAAACATAACTGTCAAGAAGACGAGAATATGAAGAATAACAAGTATAGAATTACAATGGTAAATTTTCAGACTTTAAGACAAAAAAGTTCATTAAAACAATATAAATTTTGCCTAAAATTAAGAATAGGTTTCCACAAATGGTGAATGTTGTGTTATGCACACAACAAATATCTTGTACAACACTTTTTCATTGATAACGGACATGGGCAAGTTACGATCTAAAATTTCTCCTACTTGCACATGGCAATAATGTAAATAATCTTCAACAACAATTGCATGCATGCTTTAACTTTGTTGCATTTAGTTAGAGATCATATACTATAACATATTGGTAACCGCAAAAAAAAGTGGAAAAAAGTCCTTTTATTAAAAAGTCCAAAGTCCCCGGAAATAAAGTTCTACCAAATCGAGACTTTATATTCTAGGACTTTTTTTGAGGAAAAAAAAGTCCCAGGAATCCAAAACACTGGACTTTATTTCCAGTGACATTTTTTCCAAGGACTTGAGAAAATTCTCCAGAGTTCTTATTTCCAGGTTTTTTTTTCAGAAACTTTTTTTCCCAGGACTTTCTTACATAGATTAAACTTATTGTGCCATTAAAAACCGTAAAAATTGCATTTGTGCTTTTGTATATTATCATATTCGAAAGTTATGGTTTAAATGTGGGATTTTAAATCATTCATTGCTTTTCGTTCCTTTTTAAACGCTTTTAAAATCATTTTTATTTCTTATTTCGTTTTCCACCTTTCGTTTTTTTCTGAACCACAACTTCATTCACGAAAAATTTGTTTATTGTTTGTTCAAAAAAATTTTTAAATCCTCTTCTATTGCATGTGAATCAAATTGGCATTTAAAACCATTGTCATGCAAAACTATTACGACTTTATTATAGGCACTGTAAGCCTAATTTCAATGGAACCTCCGAGTAACAATTGCAATGCTCTTTTACTCAAAACTGCAAACTGATCAAAAGTGTTGAAGAAATTAAGTTTGTTTGACTCAAAAATTTGTTGAATTCTGACAATTTCTTCATTGTTTCTTATGAGCCAGAAATGTGCAATCACTTTGGGAGAGAAACCACAAATGAAAATAAACAGTTTTGAAAAACCAAACATGGAATTCAAAATAATTCATACTTGATCACACAACGCTCTAAAGGTTACCGTTGTAAATCAGGCATGGCCATCCTTGCATGGAGGGTCACTTGAAATTATGCTTTCAGTTTCTTAAAACAATCTTATATTTGTGTTGGCAGTGGAATTTATTTCTTACATCTAATACTTGAATACAGTAATACAGTAAATTGCAGTAAATATTGTTGGCAAGGAAAATAATTTTAAAATAAAGACTAAGGCAATGTTGACTGGAGACTAAGACGACTAGAGGACTGTTGTTCGTCCATTTTGTAGAACATATTCAGCTGTTAAAACTGGGTTAAGCCAGTCCAGATCCAGCTGTTAAAACTGGTTTAAGCCAGTCCAGATTCAGCAGATGGAATGTAGCACCATTTCTTGACAACAGGCTTCTTGACCTTCCTGGGGTTGGTCCTTGACCTGGTGCAAACCTCCTTGGGGACATCAACGCACTCCTCGGTAGGTTCAAGCTTGGGGACCAACTTGGTCACATGAGCGCAGGTTGTATAACCAGAAGTTTCATCAGCACATTTCTCATCCTGGATAGTTTCACAGGTAACAACATCATCTTGAACATCATGTTCTTCTTGTTTAGTCCAGCACTCAGATTCATATTCAGTTCTGCAGATCTCAGGTCCCGAGACATCACAGTCCTTAACCAAAGGTGTTCTGCAGACCTCAACAGTTTCATTAAAAGCAATCTTCTCATAGTCGATGAAACAGTTCTTCCTGAAGTTCTCCTCGCACTCCTCCTCTTGCTGTGATTCATAGTTGGTGACATAGGTGGTGTGACACCTTCTGTCATAAGAGTGATCACATTGAACAACTTCATCATACTCAGTCTCTTCAACCATCTCAACCTTGTCAATACAACGCTTACCATCAGAACCAGCTTTGGCAGCTGCGACATCTCCGAAGGCTACTCCTCCAAGACCAGTATCAGCTCCTTGAAGAGCATCACGGGCAGGGATGTTTACACTGGGCTCTCTCTCACTGGCATGAGCTTGATGTTCAGCATGTTGTTTAGCATTGAAGGGGAATGTGTTGAGAAGAGATTTCTCTTGTCTTCTTAGAGTTCCCTGAGCTTGGAGCTGACGAGCTGCAAAGCTGGATCCCACCAGTGCCAGAACAATCAATCCACGCTAGAAAAGTAAACAGTATCTGTTAGTAATAGCTAGAGTTGAGTCTGTCAAAAAAGTCTTTAAATAATTAATTTCACTCTTGCCAATCTCATTTGCTAAACTGTCTCATTGAAATTTCTGGACTTTTAAGAAAAAGTAATTTAGGTCATATGTAAAATCTTAAATCCACCGAAAAAAGTGAACAAAATAAAACATTAAATTTGAGCATCCTCTCGGTCAAAATGTTGGTTAGGAATATAAATAAAAATTACAAATTAAAAGTAATGCCGAAACTTTTTCTTCCCCATGGCATGCTAGCCACCCACTCCGTTAAATCTTATAAGTTACCATTCTATTGGCCTACAGGAGATGTTATCCCGAGTACTGCCAGTAAGATACTGATGGATTAGACTCATCTTCTCCTTTTATATAATTCATCTGTGCTGGATGCAGGGGAAAACTGTGTATAGTTTGACCATGATAGAGGTAGGGTTTGGTATGGGGGGAGGTATCCTTAAAAGTCAACTGAGAAGATGGGGCTTTGGAGTGAATTTGACGATAAACATTTCATTGCACTTTAAATTTTTGCACTAGGTATTGGGGCTGAAGATGGCCTTGAATTATGGCCTATTTGAACAAGAAAGTTTTGTAAGTAAAATTCATGCAATTTAGATAATTTTGGATCATCTTGGAGAGGGACAATATTAAAAATTTGGGTCAAATAAGGATCTCCAAACTTTGTTCTCTAAATAGTTACTGAGAAAGTAAGCATAAGTAATTCAAACTGAACATAGAAAATTAACAACATTAATAAAATTTCATTTCAATATTTTTGCAAAATGAAATCTTAGAATTTCGAATATTTCTGATCGCAAATCATTTAAATTTTCAAAATTTTCACATTTTATACCTGAAAAAGAATTGAGTTTTTGCCTCAAACTCAAGTTATCTAAAACCTATATATAAGCAACTTGATGGTATAAACCTTAAATATTTCAAACTTATATTGTTTTATTTAACAGAATTCATAGTTTGAAATTTCAAACGTATACGACATTGGGTTTAAAAGATACAGGGATTAGAAAATCAGAGTTTGTGGCAAAGACTCAATTCCTTTCCAATTTTTCTGTCCATCTACTCCCCTTCCTACTTTTGCGCATAGGTGAGACTAAAAAGTTGAATATATTCCTAATTTACACATACAGCACAGTTAAAAATTAATGTATCATATTCTTTTTTTCCACATTTTTCCTTATCTTCAACCCTCCAATATTAAAAACCTGCCATCCCAAGCCCATTATCAGGCTGTAAACGTCAACTCAAAGAAGAGGAATTATGTTTTAAGCCGCGTTAATAATTTTGCAGATCTTGTGCATTTCATGTTTTCTTGCCGCGTTTCCAATTCATCCTGCAGTGCACACCTGATAGTCCTGCAACTCATTGTAATTATTTTCCAGGATAATACATCTCAACTCGGAAAATATAAAGAGCTTTTTTGCAAACCCCTCCCCCCTTCTCCTCTCCCCCTTTCCCCGTCCTTTTAGCCCATTAATTCACAACAACAACAACAAATTTCGTTACTTGAACTTTTTTACCTTAATTCCAATCCTCCGCGCATTAAACACTTCTACCTACCTATTGCATAATAGTGTTTATGGTATGTTTGTAGGTTTAGCACTTAAGGTCACTCACTACTTTTAACCTTTGAAAGACCTGAAAGACCTGAAAGACCTGAAAGACCTGAAAGACCTGAAAGACCTGAAAGACCTGAAAGACCTGAAAGACCTGAAAGACCTGAAAGGCAGCTGAGAGATGCGCACTTAGAAAAATCGTTATGCAGTGCCCTTATGTAAGAGATTTTAAAAAGAAAAGTTTACGTTTTTCTCTGAAACGATCGAAATTGTAATGTAATAATAAAAAACTATCCTGGGTATAGGCCTCTGATTTGAAGTTATTGTGGGGAATATTTATTTTCAAATCTATCTTTAGAGTATACACTAACATCTAGAATTCCCAATATTCTCAATTTTGCAGAAAATAAAACTTTTAGAATTTACGTTAACTCAAATATTTGCATGGGCAATACTGGGCAACATTCCTTTATTTTCATTACAGATACAAAAATTGTTATTTTCCTATTTCATAATAACTAAAAACTTCAAAGTCTGGCAACCGAAAAGTTTCAAATTATTTTGACCCTTGTTCACAAAATCATTTTTTTTTTCTTGAAGCAGATAGATAGATAGATCACTTGGAGCACTTGGTTAAGGTAGTATAACCAGNATAGATAGATAGATAGATAGATAGATAGATAGATAGATAGATAGATAGATAGATAGATAGATAGATAGATATATAGATAGATGGATAGATAGATAGATAGATAGATAGATATATAGATAGATAGATATATAGATAGATAGATAGATGGAAAGACCAAACTGTAGATCCACAGATGAACCCCATCTAGAAGATACTCCATGAGATGTTAAAACTTTGCGAAAAGATTTACTAAGATTGGAGTTGAACTAGAGTTCTTTCAGTTCTTGTAGTTAAACAACACAAATCTAGGGTAAAGTGTAGGGCTGTCTTCTTCAGTAAGACAGTTGGGGGGGGGGGGGGAATATTTTGCACACCCCAACTACTGGGAGAATTTCGGCGAGAACTTGCTAATCTTAAATCTTTTCAAAAAAGCCTAAAAACAGAGATTTGGTAAATTCGTTTACTGTTTAACGAATATTTGAAATTTCTTAGAAAAAGACAAATATTTGGATATTTTTATTGAGAATATTCTATAGGACACCCTGTATATACACTATACAGTATATGGAGGGGCGTTGTATTTATGAATATAAAATATTCTATAGGACACCCTGTATATACAGTATATGGAGGAGTGTTGTATTTATGAATATAGAATATTCTATAGGAAACCCTGTATATGAAACCCTGTATATACAGTATATGGAGGGGTGTTGTATCTATGAATATAAAATATTCTATAGGACATCCTGTATTTACAGTTGTTAACCATTAACTTTAAGACCTCCGGGTAATGTCGTCTTCAACTTAAAATCTCCTCTCGGAGAAAGCCAAACCGAATTTTCAGCCCGCATTCTCTTTGTACTCCGTCCCACGGAGCTTTAAACCTTTTTGTTTATTGTGAAATCATTAAAGTTAAGCAAGAATATTTTCATATGAAGCATTAGTGAATTTCGTTAAATATTCAACTGTAATTTTTTCAGAAGTTTAAAAACGTATTTCAATACTGATCAAGATTAAGTTTCCCTGTACCATACCAAAATAGATCGTAAGATTTTTTCTATTATTAATATTTATTATAACATTGTACAAGTAACCATGATCTATAATTTATGTTATTTTGAGGAAATAAAGCTTTTGTTATCGATTTTCTTGAGACGGGGTTACTCTGTTGTGTGTATTTGCGGCCGAACGGAAAGGAATTATCCGGACTGAATATATTTCCCTCCCCAGAATTCCGACGGGCCTTTTAATCCAAGTTCATCTGGCGTATTGCTGTTATCTGTCAACAACAGTATATGGAGGGGTGTTGTATTTATGAATATAAAATATTCTATAGGACACCCTGTATATACAGTATATGGAGGGTGTTGTATTTATGAATATAAAATATTCCATAGGAAACCCTGTATATACAGTATATGGAGGGGTATTGTATTTATGAATATAAAATATTCTATATGACACCCTGTATATACAGTATATGGAGGGGTGTTGTATTTATGAAAATTGAATATTCTATAGGACACCCTATATATACAGTATATGGAGAGGTGAATATAAAATATTCTATAGGACACTCTGTATATACAGTATATGGAGAGGTGTTGTATTTATGAATATAAAATATTCTATAGGACACCCTGTATATACAGTATATGGAGAGGTGTTGTATTTATGAATATGGAATATGGGGCAACCAGGTGGAAATTATTTCTTTCTTCTCGTTAGTGAGGTATTAAAATAGGCCTGTTGCTTTATGTTTCATCAACTAAACCTTCAGAGATGGAATTTAAAGAATTTGAGCCGCGGTTTAAATCTGCTAAAACTCGGTTTAAATTAAGCGCCGGCTTAAATCTTGAAACATTTGACACAAATTTAAGTGGAACCAACCATATTTAAGCCGCGGCTTGAATTTAAACCGCCGCTCAAATTCTGCAATTCTAAATGTAACAAATTATTTAAAGAAAATGTAAGAAAAAATTTGAATCAGCATTATATTAGGGGATCGGTGTTTAAAGATGTTAAAATTCATTTGTAAAATATCTTTTATTTTTAAGGTGGAAAAATGTTATAAAAGGTAATATAATGCTGATGTGTTTGAATCCGCTGGAAATACCGCCCGTTTATGTTCGTTTCCATTTGATTAAGATTTTGAATTACAGGAGTTAAAGACAACCTCTATAAACTTTGTTCCGCTCAAGAATGTAAGGCAAGGAAAGTTAATTGCGGTCCCGTATACTCTGCGTACATATTGAAACCAGTTCTCTCTGGGCGGAATTTGTAAATAAGAATAGATGCATCAGTGTTTGTTTAGTATCCGAGGAGGTTTAAAGCATTAAATTTTGATAATTTTGATAAATGACATAATAGTTTCCTATGACCAGAATATTTCATTGATTTTTTTTATGTGAAAGATGGATCCCATGTCAGGCTTCGACATCCGTCTTATGTTTACATTAGCGCCCAGAGACAGTACATTGAAGTACAAAAGATGTGTACACTTCTAAAATAACTTTCCTTGCATTACATCCTTGGTTCCGCTCACCTTTGTGTAAATTTTAAACATGCCGCAACATTTTTTCCACAAAGAAAAATCGAATTTGCGAGAAAAAACGACATATTTTATGAACCTTTTTATCTTTTATTCATTCTTCAAAATTATCTTTATGACATAGAAAATTCATTATTAATTTTCGTTTTTAATTAAATATTTATACACTATTTTCTAAAACTGCGTAAATCATGTTTAATTTGTATTCTAATTGATATGAAACATGTGGGAGAGTATGGTGTGTGCGGTTTATAGCAAAGAAAAATTAATTCTATAAATATTTAATTTTTTGATTATGTTATGTTCGTGAGCTTTATTTACAAAATGAATTTTGTTCTATCCAGTCGAAGGTTGTAAGTGCATATTATTTATTTTTCTATTAATTCTACAGAAAAAAAATCAACTTTTATGAAACTCTCCCTTTTAGGTAGGTCACTGTGGGAATTCGGAGTTTACAACCATTTAAAGGGAGCGACTAGCTAGGTAACATATTTGAACTGAGAGTGTAGTATTATAGAAAAAACAATTGGATTCATTTGATAGCAATGCGACATTTGTTTTGATTGTATATACAGTAAAATTTGTAAGTAAGGGCTTAAACAATTTTTTAAAAAGTTTTAGTCTGCGGACCATCGAGACC